CTATGTATTGTGATGAATTGTATGAGCCCCAATAAACTGATAAAAAAAATTCATTTTAGCAACTGTACTGCCTGTAGATCACCATGGCTGAGTCGGAATGAACTCAGTGGCAGTGGGTTGGGTTTTTGGTAAATGAAGAAGGGTTAGTGGGTCCTGGGGAGGAGGAAGGTGGGCTCTAGTTCACTCTGTTTCGCAATTCTCTCGCCCCCACAGCTTGTTCACACCCCTCTCTCGCCCTCCTTCTCCTCTGATTCTCCCCCGGCCCCGTTCTGCTCCGGCGCGCCGACCCCCTCCTTCCTCTGGAGACTCCGCACCCCCTGCCCGTCCCCATACCCCCATGAATCGCATCGATGTCCGGCCTCCCCTGGAATGGGGCACCCAGCGCAGGACCCTCTCCCGGCCCCCCACTCCTCGCCGAGGACCCTCTTTTGAGGCTGGATCAGGAAGGGCTCCCAAGAGCCCGCAGCACCGGAGTCAAGAGTCCAGAACACAGGTCAACAGAGAGGTGAGGGGGAAGGAAACTCCATTTCCCATAGATCCCTGGGATTTCCCTCGTCTCTGGTTTCCAGGCGATTGCCCTCGAGTATTATGGGGATTGTAGTTCAGAATATGTTGCTCTGTAACTGGGACTCGAAAGTTAATTTTTTCCCCCTGCCCTGTTATCCTCAATTTAACTTTCCAAAGTTGTTATCTGCTGTTTTGTTCTGAGAATCAAAGTACTGTCACCCAGAGAATCCATCCTAAAATTGTTAGAACGGGAATCAAAGGAAAGTGGACCCAGAGCATGGGTTTCAAGGAACAGGTTTTATTAGCGTTCACGACCTGCCCCCGGGGGTGGGAGGTGAGGGGGGGGGTGTTAGATTGGAATGAGAGTCAAGGGGGCGGGGTGAGGGGAAATTGGGAGACAGTGTGAAGAGAGACTAGCCCAAAGTAAGAAAGGGAGAGCTAGAGAGAGGAAGAGGCAAGAGAAGGTGAAGAGAGTCAGAGAGAGAGGGAGAGAGGACAAACAAAGGTAACTTACCTGTGTTAAACTTTTGGGACAGAAATAAATGATCATGTTCAAGAGGAGCCCATGCTTCCCTCTGATTGGCTGTGGCACCAGCAGAAGAGGGGGAAGGTTTCCGTGAGATGTCTCAGAAGGCGAGGTGTCACTTTGTGCTAGGTGGGGATGGAGAAGAGTTAGAGATGCTGGCTGTGGCTGAGAACCTTGGTGTTACTGCAGGACCCTTTAAGGATTAAAACCCAAACCAACCACTCTGCCATCCATTGGATTATGACTCTACAGAGTCATAATAAGAACAAGAGTAGAACTGCTTCTTGTTCTTCTTTTTAGAATGGTTTCTTAAAGACTTGGTGGCTGTAAACATTTACTGGAGCAAGCAGCCTCGTCTTTCTTCCTCAGGTGTCTGGTGTGTTTGAACTGCCAACCTTGTGATGAGCAGCCCAATGTTTATCCTACAGTGTCACCAGGGCTCCTTTGGAAAACCTCACTGCTAACTAGTTATAAATGTAGGAGTGGGTTGTGGTTTCATCCAAACGGTGGCTGTGTTTGTTTCAACTGTGGTAAACAAATGCGTTTAGAAGAAAGGCCTACAGTTCTACTTCGGGAAAACCAGCCAGTAAGAACCTGGCTTCCATAGCACAGTTCGATTCAGAGACAGTGGCATTAGCATGAATCAGACACCATCTGGTACAACCCTTAACACCGAACTCACTACCGTCAAGTAACACTGTAGGACAGGGTAGAACCGCACCCTTGGGTTTCTGAGTTTGTAACTCTTTACGGGAGTAGAAAGCTTCATCTGAACTGCTTTACCACTAGCCACTACCCCACTACCCGACCCAAGCTCCTAGCTGGTATAAATAGATATGTAATGAAGTGTTTGCTGTTTTAACACTTTTACATGCAGTTCGTGGACATTGTTTCTGTTCATTGTGCTTTGGAACCATCACCTCTCCACTCTTTCCAATATTTTGAGTTTAAAAAGAAAAAAAAGGTATTTTATGTTTGATACACACACATCACTGCTGTTGAGCTGTTTCTGATGCACAGCCACCCTGGGGGTCAGACTAGAACTGCTCCTGTGGGTTTCCGAGACTGTACCTCTTGATGAGAGTAGAAAGCCTCATCTTTCTCCCACGAAGCGGCTGGTGGTTTTGAACGGCTGACCTTGGGGTTATATGTAGCCCAACACATAACCACTACCATCATCAGGCCTCGCCTTTTTTATATAGTTGTTAAGAACACACTATCCAACGGTTTTTTTTGTGTGTGTGTGTGTGTGTATGAAAGAGCTTTATATACAAGAGCAATTAAATATTGAGAAAACATCCCAGCCTTGTCCAGATCAAGTCCATAAGTCAGATATTAGCCCATATGTCCAATACCAGTCTATAAAGTCCTTTTCTGACTCCGAAACACATGCAATGATGCCAAATGCAGGAAGATCACAGGCCAGTGGGTGGGAAGCCTTGTGGATCCAGTGGCGTTGTAAGCGTCTCAGGACTGGCAGGGCTCTCCACGTGGCTTCTCTGTCCAGAGGTCTGGCTCCATCAGCCTCCCTCCACATGTCTTCTCCATAGGGATATCTCTCAGGGAGTGAGCAGAGAGAGTGTGTCTCCACCTCTAAGGAGGAATATACAGGAGTTCCCAGAATCCTCAAGAGAAGGTCATGTCCACACAGAGGCCTCATTGGCTATATCCTGATTGACAGTCTAGACTTCACCCCTACACTCTTTTTTTTAAAACATTTTATTAGGGGCTATCCAACAGTTTTTAACCCCTACTCTTCAATGACATTAATGACATTCTTTGACTTGTGTACCCACCCCCACCCCTGTTTTCTGAATTGTCCCTCCTCGTGCTCATAGACTCATTGCCTGGTTCATCTAGCCACCACAGCTCCAGGAAGTCGGCAGTCCATGAGAATTTGAAACTCTGTCCTACATTTTCCTCCCCTTTGATCAGGATTTTTCTCTGGAATCTTTGATCCAACTGTTCAGTAATGGTAGCTGGGCTGTTTTGCTGGGTTACTCTACCTATCCTGGCTGAGAGCGAGTGAGGCGGCCACTGAGAAGGTGTGGGAGGACCCAGTTCTGAACCTGAAAAAGTCTCCTGAGGCACATCCCTATGTTGCGTTTAGCAGCCCCACGCGTATCCAACCATATCACCATGGTGATAGGCACCCCAACTCTGGATACGCTCGTTCAAGTGTGCTACTAAAGCAGCTGCTGTTGTGTCCACTCCAATTCACGGTGACCCCGTGTGTGTGTGTGTGTGTGTGTGTGTGTGTGTGCGCGCGCGCTCGGAGAACTGCATCTCCCGGAGTTTTCAGTGACTGTTTTTTTTTCTTTTTTAATGCAAATTGTCAGGCCTTTCTTCTGAAGGGCCTCTGAGTCAACTTGAACCTGCAACCCTGGTTTAGCTGCAGAGTGCACATGGGGAGAGGGGGGTCTCCAATATTCCTTATAAAGTCATGCTTGTTTCTAAACTTATCTGTTTCAATATTCTTCCCAGGCCCCCTCTGGCTCTGCCACCTATCTACAGCTCCCCCCAAAGTCCCCTGGAACCCGAGCCTCCATGGTGTTACTGGTAGGTATCCTGGGGCACCTCACATCTACCAGGGCCCCCCTCCTGGCTTGCGGGCCATGGGCAGCAAAGATTCATACCTGAAAGAGACTGAGAGACTGGATATGTCAAGATTCTAATGTCAATGCTCAGAATCCTTGGGTGGTGAGCCTAGACACTGACGATTGAAACGCTGGGTGTTCACATCCACCCAGAGGCACCTTGGAAGGAAGATCTACCAGAAAACTGCCCACTGGCAACCCTGTGGGGCACACGTCTACTCTGACACACGTGGGGACCTCAGGAGTTGGGATGGCCTGACTCCAACTGGTGGGTGGGTCGATGGGTTGGTTGGTGGGGTAGGTGATTGAGAATTTTCAGGTTATAAGGGTGATGGGGGGGTGTCTTTCCTGGCAACAAGACCGATGAGGGCCTGAGCCCCATCTCTGTCCATTTCCACCCTTTGGAAATCCCTTGTGCTAAGACAGAGGAGGCCTGGTGGTGTCGTGGGTAACGCTTTGGGCTACTAACTACAAGATCAGCAGTTCAAAACCCATCAGCAGCTCCTCAGGAGATAGACGAGTCACAGCCTTGGAAATCCACAGGGACAGTTCTACACGATTTTTTCTTTTTTTTTTTTTTTAGTTCTAAACAATTTTATAGGGTCACTAGGAGTCGGCTTTCACTCGATGTCAGTAAGTTTGGTTTGGTGAAGGCAAAGCGGGTCAGACACATAGTCCATATAGCACCCACTGGGTGCCTTAAAGTCACCGAAATGCACTGCCTTCTATTCTGGGGGCAGGAGTCTGAGGGGCCCTAGGAGATGGGCCTTTGCATTCCTTGGCTTGTAGCTGCCTCCCTTCATTGACGGACGGACCGATTGACGGACACTTCCTAGCAATCGACAACTGAAATTGACAGGGGCTCGGAATGAGCTTGTCAGGGGGAGCGGTTGTCTGTAGAAACAGAGCTTGACCAGGTCCTGAGCGGCGATATGGACTAGACTGTCCCACGTGACCTGGACTTTCCTCCCCTCTCCTCAGCCTGGGCCCCCGCTGGACTCAACCTTCCACCAAAGCTTGGAGACCGATGTGAGTTCTCTGTCTCCAACCCCTGCGGTGTACCCAGAGGCGGGGAAAGAATGTTCGGGAAGATGGTGGTGGTGGTAAAGTATGTGTGTGCAGGGGAGCGGGTGGGGTGACAAGCCAGCTCTGACCCAGAATCAGCTCCTGCCCGCCTTTCCCCAGACGCTGTTGACCAAGCTGTGCGGGCAGGACCGGCTCCTGAAGAGGCTGCAGGAAGAGCTAGACCAGAGGCAAGAGGAGAAGGTCAGGAGGGTAGCCCCGCCCCTCACCTGGTAGCCCCGCCCTTCCACCCAAAACAGGCGTGGCTTTGCCATAGCCCCGCCCCCTTGACACCTGTTCTCCTTAGACGCTAAAACTCGCAGGAGAATGCCAGGGTCATTCAGACTCGCAGCCTCCTGCTCTGTAAGAAAATTAAGTTCTGTTTGTTAAAGAGAAGAGGAGGGAAAGGCTGCAGATGGGAAGACGGCGGCTTTCTTTCCCAGGAGACTGGGGTGGGAATCGCATTACCTTCTCCACTCCTGATTCAGGAGCAACTGGAGGCCGCTCTGGAGCTGACCCGACAGCAGTTGAGCCAAACGACTCGCGAGGCTGGGGCTCCCGGGAGGGCCTGGGGGCGCCAGCGCCTTCTGCAGGACCGGCTGGTGTGCGTGAGGGCCGCTCTCTGTCACCTGGCTCAGGTGAGCCTCAGAGGGCCCAGGATTCTTCAGGGGGTCCCCTTCAGGGGGCCGGGGGGCTCACGGGAAAGTAGTTGTGAATTGAGCCTACACTCCTCTGGTGGCTGTGTGGCCTTAGGAAAGCTACTTAACCTCTCTGGGCCTTAGCCACTTTCTGCCTCCACGGGGTGGGGGTGGGGCCTGCTTAAAAGTTTGGCTGCTCACCAAAAGACTGGCTTTTTGCTTCCGGTGGCGCAGCGGTGAGGAGTAGGACTGCAACCCGCAAGGTCGGCAGTTCAAAACCACCAGCAGTTCCATGGGAGAAAGATGGGGCTTTCTACTCTTATACATAATTACAGCTTGGAAACTCACAGGGGGCAAATCTACCCTGTCCTATAGGGTCGCTATGGGTCAGTATTGACTCTATGTAAAGATTGACAGACCAGTTCTACTCTGCCCTATGGGGTTGTTAGGGGTTCACCAGGGACACGCCCCCTGGCAATGGGGTATGATTATTTGTCTACACTGACGCACACTGGCATTCCAGGGTCAGCTTCCATCTCGGGGGTTCCCCAGAAGTCAAAGCAAAGAGGCTCACGAGAATTGTAGTCCCCCTCGCCTCCAGGGGAAAAGATGAGGCGGGAGAGATGTGGTAGAGGCGGTTCTCCACCCGTGTTTCCTCTGTTCCGGGGCCCTAGGAGCGGGAGCGGGTGTGGGACTCGTACAGCGGCTTGGAGCAGGAGCTGGGCACACTGCGAGAGACCCTGGAGTACCTGCTGCATCTTGGTTCCCCCCAGGTACGTCCCTGCCCTGCCCCAGCCCTCTCTGGCACAGGAGTGCCTCTCTCAGCACTACAGCCCCTCCCACTTTATCCTAAACCCCTCCTCCTTCTGTCCTTGTTAGTCTAAGGACCCACGTGTAGTGAGGGTTTCCCACCCCCCCGCCCCCAGCCTTCATTTAAAGAGTTACCTTCATATCCGCGCCCCCTCAGAGCTTCCGCGCCCCTTCTCTTAAAGCCCCACCTTTAAGTTCAGCGGGGTCCCCATCTTTCAAGGTCATCTCTCGTATTTTGCATCCTAACTTTTGCACTTAAACTTCTCTTCCATATGAGAAAACAATACTAATTTATAAATTATCAAGGGTTCGTGAGGGAGTGGGGAGCGTGGAGGGAGGGGGAAACATGAAGAGCTGATATCAAGGGCTCAGGTAGAAAGCAAATGTTTTGAGAATGATGATGGCAACAAGTGTACCAATGTGCTTGACAC